TATCTACTATTACGTTTATCTAAACGGGTGCTTGTTTATTCATGCTGTCTTTCACTATACCTGCTATCTAGTTCGATTATGAATTGATAACTCAGTTAGAGAACCATTGAGAACCAATACTGGAGTACTGAAAAGCCAGATTTTTCATTAGCCTAATTTAGGAGTCATCGGAAGTACGCACATACTGCCAGAGTTCGAACCCATGACTTTCTTGTGCCAAGGAAAGCTTGTAGGACCATCCAGTCAGTCAGTGGGACCGAACTCAATGGCTAGCCAATAAATGCTTACACTCTATTAACTGGCTACAGAATGAAGTGGCTCTGGAGTTCTTGTGAGAAGTCGTGACCAGTAGGTTCCACATAATCGGGAGTGGGGAGAAATACTCGCCTCCAGTGACACTCGTTGATGCCAGTCGTGCTAAAATCCCTAATTGGTAGAATTTAGAATTCCTGGAGGAGGGGTTGGCCATCATGCTGTCCAGTACTCCCTGTTTTTCAATGGCCATATACATTTATTTCTGTATATCTGTTTAACTATAGATTGTCGACGGATTCCATTGCCCCGACAAAATTCTTTGTTACTTTAGTGGCAAAGTTCTACAATAACGACCCAAGAGATGGGAACGCACGAGTGACCTTGAGCTGACCAATCAGGAAAATGAGGGATTTTTGCACAAAGAATAACGTATATATACATAAAAAGCATGAAGAAACATTAAACAGGGTACTTTCCTCTGATATGAGATGGAAATATGTCCCAATTATAATGGGGGGTGTCAGTTTTTAAATTAAACCAATTTCTATACATGTATTCATCAAGGTGACTAAAAATAACTTGATTTTGAGAGCCATTTATTGCTCTCATTCTATTTTTTAATCCTCTCCAGAAACCCTCTATTGAATTAGTATGAGTGCCTGTTCTGGGATCGACGAAATCATCGATGTAACATCGATTGTTTACATATCCTAAATCCGATAATCGGTTATATCCTGCGCATTCATCCGTGTGTACAGTAGCGCCAGGCAAAACGAGTCTTTGAATAATAGACAGAAAAGTGTCGGCTCTCCCGTCTAAAATAAGTTCAATGAATCGTTTCTGAATTTGGGTGTCATAAATTCCCAATACCCAAAAGTTGTTGGCTCTAGCACGTCCGCGATTGTATTTCTTCTTAATAAGCACTGTTTCGTCGATGTGAACGATAACACCGACTCCTCCTAACACTTGTGTAATATTATTCATCTTCCTAAATCTCGACAAAATTGAAAGTACTGCACAGTAGACGTCAACGTATTTTCTGTCTGAGCGGCAGTTGACCTCACTTGGGATTTCAAAATCCAGTAATGGCAAAGAAACAGTATATTCGTCAAAGAAAGTTTTGATTTAGCAAAGAAAGTTCCTAGAAGACAATTAACCGAGAGTGTCACTTACCAGTACGAACACTTGTTCGTTTCCTACACTCCGTACTTCTAAATATATATCCATCAATGACCTGTGAATACGGTCGCATGCTCGTTGAAGCACCGCAACTACATATACGAGTACTTCCTATCAATCCATTATCCAGACAGTATTGAAATACGTGATCTGGGTGAAATTTGCACCTGAGCAGATGAACAGCGTTCATTTTCGCGCTAAAATAATCGTAGGTTTCTTCAACCAACCACTAGCATACGATCAAGGTCGTCCTCACTTCTGGAACACTATTCTTGAACTTCGCCACTTTAGTACCAAGTGAAGGGTTGTGTTGTTGGCGGAATTCTTCAATGGTGCATTCATGCATCATATCACTGATCCGTATAAAGAAGAACTTACTTATTCCTTATTCTTTACACACTGATTTCAAACGCTTGTCTCGCTTGCTTTTACGATTATTCTAGCTAGACTGTGCCATCTTCTTTTTCACCGCATCTCAGTGGTACTGATACACTGCTGCCTAGGTTATTATAGTTTTTGGATGGAGGATTTTATCATGAGCTGAAATCAGTTAGACAACCACTGGAAAACCACTTGGGAGTACTGGACAGCTGTTCATATTATCTGCCTAGTTTGGGGACTCTTCATCACTACGCACCCACCAAAGGGGAGTTCGAACCCAGGACCTTTTGGTCACAAGGCTAGCGAGCTCGTAGATAATTAAGCCACTGGGACCCGATCCAATGACCAGCCAGCCCATGAATTCCAACTTCCGCCAGCCAATTCACGACATAGCACGACCATTTCGCAATGCTGCACTCTACTGGTCACGGCTTCCAACTAGAACCCCAGGCAACTGCCTTAATAGTGCCAGTCGCTAGTGAGCATCAGCAGGTTGAAGGTGAGGCAGTAACTCATCGAAGAAGACATTGCGAAATGGTCGCGCTATGTCGTGAATTGGCTGGCGGAAGTTGGAATTCATGGGCTAGCTGGGTATTGGATCGGGTCCCAGTGGCTCAATGGTCTACGAGCTCGCTAGCCTTGTAACCAGAAGGTCCTGGGTTCGAACTCCCCTGTGGTGGGTGTGTAGTGATGAAGAGTCCCAAACTAGGCTGGCTGTCCAGTACTCCCACTGGTTCTCTAACTGATTTCAACTCATGATGAAATCCTCCATCCAATCAAACAAAATCCCTACAAAAACCAATACTTGAAAATATTATAGTTTTTGCGATATATGATTAATTTTTTCGTCTATGCGTAGGCGGTGTTCGTGTGTGGTGTTTGTGTGTGTGTGTGTATGTGAGGGGGTTGTTGTACAAACGTGCATTCTGTGCTAAAATATATCGATTCACTCAAGTGTAATAATAATAATAATCGTTATAATGACAAAATAACCTGAAAAAATGACAGACGATTTTATGACCGACCGTTAATTCCCACAACCTTTTTTCTCTCTCAAGTAATTCACAGACGATAAAATGATGCATTTTTTGAATAATGACAACAACAACAACGATAACGACAGTTGACTGTGTACGTGTGTGTATGTGTGCATGTGTGTGTGAATGCGCGTATGTATGCACGTGCGTGTGTTTAATCATTTTTGGTGGTGCTTGGTAGTGTGCTTGTTCGTAGGTATGTTGGCGTGCGTGCGTGCGTGTATGAATGTGCGTGTCTGTTTTTAGGCTTTTTGTGCTGTTTAAAAAAAAAATATTATATCGAACGCACATTATTCACCACCATAGAGAGATAGACAAGTGATAAAATGTTTTGTAAATTCAATAAAATTTCATACTGTCATAGTGTGTGTGTGTGTGTGCTTGATTCAGTCTGATGTGATTGTGTTTATGTATATATAATTTTTTTAAGCGGTGATAAACGATGTTTTTTTTTAACGGTATGTAAGTACTGACGATTTTCCTCTAGACAAATGTTGGAACAGATCGGCAGGAAGCTCTGCCTCACCTAGGTTTCTTGCTTGTTGGCACTCACCAATCAGCAAAAGTGTATCTGCAACTAGCTTGGAGGAACTCATGTCCCTTCTCCTGAGATTCGAACCCGTGTCACCAACTGGAGCTGCAGTCAGAGACGTCACTACTGAGTTATCTGGGCTCGCGACTGACCTCCTCCTGTAGGTCTGTATTAGATACTTTGATTGGATACACTAGCTAGTAACTAGTGTGAGATATGTCTAGTCAAGTTTGCAATGTAACCGCCATGTTAGTCGGCTAGAAATCACAATGCACAGTACTATGAATTGTTGATATTAGGTAGTTGGAGGCAATCGGCAGGAAACTTTTGACCTGGGTTTCGTGCATGTTGCTACTCAAAAGGGATATGATTTCCTTCAAGGTTGCAGATACGCTTTGCTTACTCAGTGTTACAGTCAATTATGTTGGGTTGTCATATAAATACATTGATCGATAATATGGATATAACTTGATTGATGACAAAATGTGCTAAAACGAAGATAACTTTTCAGTATATAGGAAAGGCAATGTCATTTAACCTATAGGGAGACTTTCATCCATTGAAATGGTTGGGATAGGTGTATTCCTTGCATTTCCGAGGCAGTCAGGTTCCTTGTAGTCCTCTTGGTTGAATACTCTGATAGAATGCGTTTTTCGGAACCCCTTGTGAGGAGCAGCAATCTTCGAATGTTTGGCGTGTGATTTGCTGCTGTTAAATGTAAGATGATGCTACAGGAATGAACTATATTGACTCCTAGCTTAAAGGTAGGTGGTTGGTGGAACGTGTCGACCACTTAACTTATCTGGGGAGCTGCATCAGCCAGTCCCAGTGGGGTTGGTCACTGACGAAATCTCAGCACGGATACAGAAGGCTTGTTTGGCATCTGCCAACTTACGCCATCTCTGGCTTAGTAGAGATGATATCTGGCTGTCGACCGAAGGGCATGTATACTGCCCAACAGCAGTTTGCTCTGTCCTTCTTGATGGCCGTCTGTGAGATATGGCCACTGAAAGTGGTAGATATGTGAAGGCTGACTAGCTGTCTGTGTTCCGTCTCTCGTGTTAGGTGGTATAATAGGATGACTTCAGTCGAGTGCTAGATAAGGAGGGAAAATCAATCGACGAGGTTATGAAGGTGAATCGATTGTGAAATGTTTAGAATATGTGTTACTCATACCTGGCCATCGCCTTCCTCGGCGGTCTATGTTAGCTGACATAGCAGCGATCAAATTGGAAAAGAGTTAGTGGTGGTGGTGGTCAAACGAAAACATGGCTTCATCAGTCGATGGAATCCATAACAGTTAGTTTAAGCCAGCCAGCCACGCAGCGAGGTGTATACTGCTGTTTGGTTGGGGTCCTCGGGGATAGTAAGGACCAGTAATGGCTGGAGACTGACTATTAGTGATATAGCCTAAGAATCGTTGTCAATGAATAGCGCATATTTATAGTGATCGATCTCTCTAGCCTTTCCTCTATTCTACTTCATTTAATAATTAAGGGGGTTAGTTTCCCTCATTATCGTCTTATCTAGTTTTGTTGGTTGCTAGAGTTTTTTTTTTAAAAATATTTGAATCCTTATTGTGTGTGTTTTTTTTTTCACCCCTACTTTTATCTCAGGTTGATCTCAATGAACATACATCAGGTGTGCATATAACTACAAATAATGATCCAAATAAATCTCTTATACCTCCTAGTGCTGTTCAAATTCTACAAGAGGTGAGTTCTTTTCTCGTATTTCTTCTTCTTTGTTTTATTGTTCAATGGTAGGAATGTCCTCTAACAACCACCATCCCCCTCCTTCGCGGAATGTACATAGTTCACAGTTCGATTCCCAACTGACACATATTCGAAAATCTCATCTTACCAGTGGTAGTAGTGTAACAACAGAAGACAAGGGCCAGGCAACAGAACGTTTATTACGGAAAATCAGCACATATTTATAGATTTTGGTGTACATCATTGTAGGTTAATGTTAGTAGAAAATACAGTCTGTTGATTGGTTGTTTCGCACACAAAGTTAACCTTGCATCTCTTGTGGCTATGTCAGTTCATCTATATGTTAACTGTATCCGCCTGTCCATCTTGACCTTGTTTTCACATGACTAACATTGACCTCAATTACTGTCAACCAATTTGGCTAGCAACCATCTCTCACCACAGTAGTAGTAATAGTAGTTTTAAGAGGGGGAAGGGAAAGAGAGAGAAGAAGATTGAGCCTGTTAGGTTGGTGACTAAAAATTTAAAAAGGGCCTCAATAAGCGTGGAGTGTGTTTGTGTGTGTGTGTGTAAGTGTGTCTTGTAGAGCTCATCTGAGAGTTGGAATCTTTTTGGAAATCTTGTCATATGACTTATGTATTCGTTTTTTCATTTCAATCACCTCGCTCTTCTACCTACCTACCTACCTACCTACCTATCTACCTTCCTTCCTACCCACCTACCTACCTAGCTAAATATCAATATAGATTTATTGACATTGAACAGATTTTTAATCCTAGTTGAGAGTAGTCTTCAACAGCCTTCAGACATATGACTCCACCCGCAGGCGAATATATAGGGTCTTCAGATTATGTAGACAAGTTCTTTGATGAGTCATTCAGTGGATTTGGATCCAGTGTCTGTTAATGGTGGATACCATGACTTTTCATTCGAGCTTAATGACGTCCACCGTATGCCTCCTACTATTGAGTAAGAGGTTAAAAGAAGTTAGAATTGACTGGACATTGGATTTCAGCCTATTGACTGGATAACCAATGAACTCGTCTCACAGCTTCAAAGCCTTTGATTCTATCTTTCGTTAGGGGGGAGCGTTTTTGTTCACTGTTAAAATGTCCCTAGCTAGGTTGAATCAACTGTTCAGCGCTTCATCGTTTCATCATTTTGTGTGGTATAGATGGCGATTCATTCGTATTCTGTTATCCAATCTGCAGCTGACGCACTCTTATAAGCCTAACCCAGAGAAGAGGAAAGGAGGGGATATGTGTAAGGCTGATGACCCTATCCTGTAATTGGAATATCACTCACTGCTGCTGAAACTTCATAGAAGTTCTTGAAGGTTATTTTTTACATCTTGGATGACTACTGGATAGTATCGTTAGGCCTGATTGAAGTTATTTTGATGCACACTGCTGGGTGGAGATGAGGTGGTCTGTGGACACAGTTGTACTGTTGGATAAAAGGTGGTGTAACAGCAGTAAGATGTATCCCCTTCAGATGACTATAGCATGCCAAGCTATGCTGCATATCCATTCTGGAGAAGGAGACGAGGAAGTGGGTGGGCAGGTGAGTTAGAAGAAATGTCGACCCCAAAAATTATACATCTTGACTTATCCTACGGGGATCTGTAGCCGGCGGTAAGGTACCAAATTGCTAGAGCAAATCTAAGTACCACCAATTTAAAAAATCCCCACACACAGTAGCCTCCTCATTATACTTGTGTTTGTGGTGGATAGCAGTTGAATTAAGCATATGGATTTTATCCTATTTAGCACTCATAAAGTGTAGATATACTTGTCATCCCTAATCAATAGTTATGATGATAATCTCAATGAGACTAGGAATCCCGGTGTAACGGTAGAAGACCAAAAGACTTGGTAAAGAAAAACGTTATTTGCAATTCGGTATTGCTATATATGTAGCCAAATTATGTACACCTTATCTTCAGCGCAGGCACCATTTGCACAGATCATCTTCCGTGTGTTGTGCTACTTCTAATCGCCTTCCTTCATATTGTCTTTCTTTGACGTCAAATCTCTCTCTCTCTCTGTTATTTGATGTTTTTATGCCGGTCGATGAGCATCTCTCTTTATATACTACTGGTAAATCTTATCAGTAGCACACACTGCACTAGGAGCTATTCCATATTAAATAAATTTTTATTTGAAATAACGCACAGTGCTATAGTGTATTAATCACTAGATGGATGATGTTTTGAGCTGGGGTTCGGACCCAGGACCTTCTGGTTACAAGGTGAGCTAGCTCTCCTTGTCATCAGTAATTAATAGTAATAATAATGTATAAATTTTCTCCATCCTCCTTTATGGCTATGAGACCTGGCCGTTGAGAGTGGAGGATATGAAAAGGCCGGCTAGTTGTCTTTGATCATAGGTGCCTGCGTTTTATCTCCCGTGTTAGGTGGTATAAAAGGGTGAGCAATATTGAGGTTAGGCATAGGTCGAGTACTAGGTAAAGAGGAGAGATCAATCGACGAGGCTGTGAAGCTACATCGACTGAGATGGTTAGGACATGTGTTACGCACACCTAACCTAGCCATCGCCTTCCTCGACGGGCAATGTTAGCGGACATAGGGTTAGGCTAGGAAAGAGCTAGCGGTGGTCAAACCAAAACATGACTTCATCAGTCAATGAAATCCACAACACTTAGTTTAAGCCAGTAAGCCACGTAGGAATGCACAGACTTCCTGACAGGTTGGGGTCCTCGCGATGGTAAACACCAATGGTTGGAAACAATCAGTGATATGACTCAAAATCGTTCTCAATGGCTGGCCGTAGATGTGACTTCTAATATCCAATGAAACTGCATTGTTATTCGTTATTACTATTCCTCTTGTCTCATATCCCTATCTACTGTATCTATTATGCATTTCTTCTTCTTTCTTCTCTTGCTTTGTGTGGTACATGGAGTGTGGCGACTTGAATTGCTGCACATCGATGCAAAGTTCTATGTCGAAAACAGACAAATAGGCAGACGGACAAATTTTTTCCATAATTGGTTCCACTTTTTTGTTTATATGGTTTCTGACATATGTCGCATTGATTCTCTCTCAGTAAATGTAAAATGAGGATTTTGCTCAAAATTAAAATTAATTTCTTTTCTTATCTCCTATTGTTGTTGTTGTCAAGCAATTAATGCCTGGTCCACCATTTGCCTTCGGTGCTGCACTTGTCCTGTTGGCAATTATCGTATCAATGTTTATCCCTGAGAATCCGTCATCTGGCCAATTGTCACATTCAGAAATTATCACCGGTTCATCGCATGATTCAACACATGGTGGTAGTCGATATGTCGGTGAGACAAGACTACGCCGGAGTTCACCTTCAGGTCAGTTACATCGATCTATATCAAGCTGTGAAGCCACTTTACCTGGTGTTGCTGTTGGTGATGATGATTGTGATAAACTCAAGCTGATGAGTCCTGCTGATGTGTATAAATACAATACGAAAGGTGATTATCATCCTCCTCATAGTTATTATAATAATATGTATGAAGGAGATAATGGAGGAGGTGTCGGTGGAGTCGGGATTTGGGGTCGTCTAATGACAAGTCTTTCAGATTTTCGTAATCCAGTCTACGTGAAACAACGACCAAATCGTGTATATCGTCAATCGAAAGGACGTTTTAGTACATTGGGAATTGTTGAACCATTTCGTCGTCTGTTTATCCGAAGAACACCATACTACAATGCTACTGGTGGTGGAAGTTTTGCAGATAGTAATATGATTGGCTATCATCATCCAACGGACAGTGAATCATCATCACGCTTCCAGTATTCACGACTACCATTCACAGTGATTAAATCAAATCATAATATATAGTAATGATAAGAAGAATTTAGAGGATTTATCAAGTAAAGAGTTATTGTTTGCTAATCCTTTATTATTATCATCAAATCGTTGTGAATCTGAAGAGGCAGCTGATTTAAGCAATTATCGTGCACATCATTTCCGACGTATGTTTACGCCTACGCATAATAATTCCCCTGCGACAATGCTAGCGGTGACTACTACACCATCCAATGACGTCTCTTCTTCTGTCCCTCTTGGTAGTAATAAAGACAGTTTCACCGGTGGTGGTTCAAAGTCTATTATGAATTCTACTCAAGATTATTCTACCAGACATCATAATGATGATGATGATGATGAGAACTCTGAAGGAGAAGAAGCAGAAGCAGCAGACAAGGCAAGCTTATTACGTAATCAATCATCATCATGTTGATGATGACGATCAATAATAGTCCAACAAGAAATATTATGATGAAACAAAAATTTTTTAGTACTAGTCATCATCATCATCATCACCCTTATGAGAAATCATCAGGTACATGATGATGATGATGAAGAAAGAAAATAAGATATTCTAAATTGTGAGTAAGTGTTATTGATTATTTTTCAAGTATTGATTTTTTTGTTTGATTAGTTGGAGGATTTCATCATGAGCTGATATCATCAGTTAGAGAAAGAATCATTGGAAAAGCTGGCAGGGGAGTACTGGACAGCTAGTTGTTTCGTCAGACTGGCTTTGGGACTCTTCAGCGGTACGCACCCACCGCAGGGCAGTTCGAACCCAAGACCTTCTGGCTTGAAGCTAGAGGCTTGAAGTTTCTGTAGCAGTGGTGATTATTTTTACAGGATGGGGTTGCTAGCCTCATGCCCAACCTTTCCTCTTTACCAGCTTTATTTCTAGCTTAGCGAGGTAAAGGAATGCGTTGGCCGGGGATCGAAACCCGGACCATGTGCATGGTCAGCGAGCGTCCTAACCGCTGTGCCACTGACGCACAAGGAGTGTATCGGTCGAAGATCGAACCCCGGTCCACATGAGGCGTGGTTGGCGAGCATTCTACCGCTGTGCCACCGACACACACATCTTATCCAGCCCCCCGCCCCCCAATCCACCCGTTTGTTATGAAAGCATGCATAATAGTGTAGGTACGTAGGAGGTAGGTAGGTAGGTAATATATAAGGAATAATTGAGAATTTTTGTACATTGTGCACATGTGTGCCATTAAAAGGCATGAATTTGTTCCTAAGCCATTTGGATCTTAGTGTCTCGAGGAGTCTCCTATTACCACCACCACTACCATTCAAATAGTCTACACTTGTTTACATGATTGAATACTTGCAGTCAACGTCTTCACACACATACACACACATGAAGACTTCGTGTACTTTTGGAAGTGTGTGGGTGGTTGTTACTTCCCGGCTGCCCACACCGTGGAAGTTGATTGATTCTTCGAGTACCTGAAACAGAGAGAGGGTTAGTGTTGCGTGACCTCAGAGCCCAGGGGACAACTGCTTTAGGCCGATCACACACGGCCTGTATGAACTGGTTTCTTGGATTGGTTCCGTATTAGTAGACTTACCGCCAGTTACGGACCACCGTAGGGTAAGTCGGGATGTACAGTTATTGGGGGTTGACCTTTTCTAACCCCCTCTCTCCGGAGTGGAGAGACAGCATAGCTGGCCGGCATGCTGGTCATCTGAGGGAAACACCTTACTGCTATTACATCCCTGCTCCCTAGCAGTACGACTTCGCCCTCAGACCCCCAGCATAGTGTAAGAAAGATTCTTACACAATGCCGGTAACTGCTTTTAGTCTAATCGCTATCCTAACAACCTTCCTGGCATGGTAGGACCTGCAGGAACATTGGTTCCAGCCAGTGTAGCTTGTTGGGTCATTGCAATGTGCAAGCCCGACCACCACGTCAAGGTAGCAGCTATCGGTCGGGATACACACACACACAGTCATAACTCTTCGCTGAAGGCGATTGTGTGTGTGTGTCATAGATTGCTGTCGTGTTTTGATTTGACCAAACTATGAACTCTTATCCAATATAAAATCTTATGTTAGCTAATATTGGTCGTATAAAAGAAAAGGCGTTCAGCGAAGAGTTATTCTTTTTGGGTGTGGAGACTGTCCCTTCATCACCCGGAGACGATTACATTCTTCCTTCCATGTTAAGTGATTTAGCGACAACTGACGTTATATGTAGACTGATACATAAGGAATGAAAGTCGTCAGCCAACAAGGTTGTATGAAGCTAGGCTAGCTGCATGGATTGATGAGATGACCAGGACACACACACACACACACCCATGTTATACAGCATTCCAAGTTATCACCTTTCTAGTCGAAGAATATTATGTAAAAGAAAATGCGTGCAGGTGTCGTTCTCAGGCTGTACAATCGCAGGTATGTATGTATTATTATTGTTCCCTTGGGTTATGAATGGGATATAGGGCTTCAACAACATATCTCCACTTCGTTCTACTTTCTGCTGTCCTCTTCAGCTGCGTCCATGGTTGTCCATAATCTCGCACCGACAACCCACTCATCGCTTTCCATTGGGATTCCACTGAGCGCGCCGGCCTCCTCAACGTATACCCTATCCATCTCCACTTTCTCCTACATATTTTTGTTGAACGATAGGTTTTAGGTTAGCTAGTTCCCATAGTTTCCTGTTGTTAATTCTTTCGGACCAGCCATCTGATCGTCAAGATGGAGTTAGCCAAGTGGGCAGCTACTGATAAAATGTCTTTCGTGATGCTGGCGCTGTTTCTAACCCATATAGAGATGAACTGACTGACTGACTGACTTAACATTGGTGGTGTCGAAAATTCGAATCTTGTTCTTTATGCTGAGGCGGAGTGGAGGAGATTTCCAAATTGATTTCAGGTTGATGAAGGCGTACCTTGCCTTTCTGCATCTAGCTGACTCTGATCTCTTCATCTGTATCATCCGCCTATGGTTGAAACCATGTTTCCTTAGACTGACTATTCCTCACGCGATTGGCTATTATAAGACTTCAATTCATTGTTTACTCTCCGGGTTCTCCAGTCGATGACTTGGTGTGTTGTGACATCATTTGAATGAATGCCCCTTCAACGTGTTTGTATGCCTCAACCCATTTCGATTGGTTACAGTATATTTGTTGGGCGATAGAGTTGGTCCCAGAGAGCTGCCAGAGTTACTGGCCAATCTGATCTGATCTGATCTTCAGTATCGATTGGGTGAAGCCGGCCTATTACGTCACTGTTATTGACTTCAAGTTTTCATAGAGAAGTTAATCCAGTGCTCAAGGGGGTCGCTATTAAATGTGGAGTGTGAGGATTGAAGAACTCGCTGATGAGACTAGCTGGAGCGGTAGTGCTATGGTGTTATTGTGAAACTGATAGAACGCAAAGGACACACACACACAGGATCCCGTCCCCATGTGACTGGATGATGGGTGAGTAGTCAACGGGTTTGACCTCGTAACTTGAAGGTCCCGAGGGGAGGGGGCGCCATCCCCCCACCACCACCACTCCCTGGTTTTCAGTGATTCCCTGACACTGATATGTGTCAATTCGTGATTTAATGTAAAACCTTGCTTTTATTATTGTTATTTTTTTAAATGATTGTTAATTGCTATTCTTTGTCGTTCTTTTTTTGAATTAAGGTGTTGCAATAGTTAATCTTCTTCTCTGGCTACTTGGATATCGACCTGGTGGTGATCGCGTTCACCGCTGTTCAATGCTTTCAATGTGTTTGTATGTGTTCTCATGATGTCTAACAGAGTGGACTTTAAATGCAAATAAATCTTGTACTATTGTTACACTTCCGTCTCTCGACTCCCACTGTTACCCCATTGTTTCGCCCCAACTCGTCACACACTCTTACACTCAACCATCTCAATAACATCCCTGTCTATAAATGGGTTGTTTTCTTTTCTTTTCACTTTCTACCTCTTCTAATTCACACATATGTACACACTACTGTGTACTCACAGGTCGGTTGGTTGTTTTTACCTGATTGTTGTTTGTTGGTGTGTTTCTACAACAACTGCTACGGATAAAAAGTGGAAAAATGTAAACATTTATGTATATTGCTCGCGCGCGTGTTCGTGCGCGCGCTGTAATCTCTAATATTTCTAAAGCTCTTTTCATAAATAGTGTTCATTTACCTCTCATCATTGTAACAACAACGGTTGTATTAAGTAGTAATAATAGTAGTAATTATGGTGGAAAATACACCGCCCCCCTCCCCACTTCTCTTGAGAAAACCCAACCCAACCCACACCTCATTCCCCCATCGCCTATTTTATGTTTTTCTCTCTTCCAATATGATAAATTTCTACAGCAACAACAACCACAACAACAGCATAACATTTTCTCTATCTCTTTTTGATCTGATTGTGATTATGTAATATGTAACAACACGCCTTTGTTTGTTATTTTGTCCTCTTGTGTATTTTTGTGTATCGTGTATGCGCGTGCGTGCGAGCGTGCGTGTGAGTTGGTGTGTGTGTGTGTGTATGGGTCTCTTTCTCTCAACGTTTCACACAGATACACGCCTACACGCACACGTACACGATAACACGTGTTTGTATAATGAACAGTTTAATTCCTCGTTTATCTATCTATCTATCTATCTATTTATTTAAATATATTTGTTGATTTTATTTTTCAATTCATTATACAAAGTACAAAGTACATTTTTTTTCGTGTTTTTTTCGAATTTTCTGTATGTATGTATGTATGTTTGTGTGTGTGCGTGTGCGTGCGCGCACACGATTGTCAAGTGTAATATGCAACGACAACATCCACCCACATACACACAAATGCCAGCTAAATAACAATGTTAAAGATGCAGTATCATATTTTGTGTGTGCGTGCGTGTGTGCTTGCGTTGGTGTGTGTTTGTTTGGTTGTTTGCGTGTGTATAAATCACAAAAATGGCAATGAAAAAATAATAAAAAAACACTTCTGATGTTTTTCTAATGATGATAAATAAACAGCCTTGTTTCCTACCATCAACCCCCTACCCCCGCTACCCTACTTATTACAATTAAGACTGAGATGTGTTCATTGCCATGTTAGAGGAGGTTGTTTTGTTCCTCGTCAAATGTATATGTAAGATGGATGATAGATACTACATACAGGACTGGACTACAATGACTCTTTCGTAGGTGTGAAGTGGTTGGCGGAGCGAACGTGTTACATCAGCCACGGCGGGACTGATTACTACTGACGAAATCTCAGTATCGATGCAAAAGGCTCGTTTGGCATATGCCAACTTACGCCATCTCTGGCTTAGTAGACGTGATATCCGGCTTGGTTGTCAACCGAAGGACATGTGTACTGTTCAGCAGTCCTACTCTGTCCTCCTTGATGGTTGGCTATGAAAGTGGAAGACATGAAAAGACTAGGTAATCTGTCTTTGGTCGTAGGTGCCTGCTTTCTATCTCTTGCGTTAAGTGACATAATAGAGTAAGTAATATTGAGGTTAGGCTTCAGTTGAGTGCTAGGTGGTAAGGCGGGCAGATCAATCGACGAAGTGGTAAATCTCTACATCGATTCAGGCAGTTACGCATTCCTAGCCCTCGCTTTCCTTGACAGGAAGGAAGGATTAGGTTGGAAAAGAGCTAGTGCGAAGAGACTCATTTCCAGCGAATTTATTATCAAGTTGTACAATAGTATTTATATGGTTTTTAAGAAATTATATCCGGTGAGGCAATTAAATCATAGGTGTGAATACATAAAATAATAATAGCGTAACGACAGAAGACAAGGGTCAGGCAACATATCGTTTATTGAGAAAATCAAGAGATATTTATAGATTTTTATGTACATTATTATTAGCGTTATTGCTAGCAGAGAAGCAACGTCTTCTGATTGGTTGTTTTCTTGCTGAAGGTTATTCTGTACTGCTTGTGACCGTTTCTTAAAAAGTTAAGCCATATATCTGCGAATCGTATTTGCACACGTTAAGTTTGCTGTGATTGGCTGTTGATTTCCTCAAGGTTAAGCTTTGTTATGACCCCGACTTGGGACGTAAACATTGACCGTCAGTTGTTGTCTACAATTTTGGTTAGCAGACATCTCTCACCAGAGGGATCATCGGGATGATAAGGACCAATGACGACTGGAGACAATTGGTGATACGGTTGAAAATCATCGTTGTCAATGGCTGGCGCAGATACATTCACTCATTGTCGAACGCCATACCCCCATTAAACTGTACATTTCTGCTTATTATGTGTCACTTTTTGTGGTTCATGGAGTATGGCAATTTGAGTTGTGCTGTACTTTTGTGCGGAAAGTTCTATGTGTGGAGACAAGCCAGTCAGTCAGTAGTGGTTCACTTATTCATTATCACAACGACTTGCGCTCACTTGCCCCCACATACCTCCAGACGTACGTAATAAGATATGAATTGTAAGCCCTATCTGTATACTAATCTTTTTGAAATTACTATGATTCATTGATGTAGGCTAACCGGTTGACTTCTGGTGATTGTCCTGTGGAATTCAATCTTGCTGTACGCCTATACAGCGTTGAACAGTTGATCATTAGAGTACTGGTGTAACAACAGAAGACAAGGGCCAGGCAACGAATCGTTTATTTAGGAAATCAACAGATATTTATAGATTTTCATGTACATTATTATAGATTATTGTAAGCAAACAAACACAGTCTTCTGATTGCTTGTTTCTCATTGAAAGTTAATCTTTCATCTCTTTGTGGCGGTTTCTTGAAGTTCAGATTATCTATCTGCAAATTGTATCTGCCTATGCAAAGTCTACTGTGATTGGTTGTTGAATCAGTCTTTGTTCTTGTTCTTTCCTCATGACCGATATTGGGAATGTAAATATTGACGTGAATTATTGTCTACCTATTTTGGCTAGCAGCCAGCTCTCACCACACTGGTTGAAAAGTATCTTTAGTTCTCATATAAAAGATGTCTGACTGAATTTTCAAATGTAGATGGTTGTATAAAGAGACTGAGTGGAAGAACATAGATGATAGGGCCTCGAGCTCGAGCCCTGAAGTTTCAATAGCAGTGCTGTTCATTTTTTGGTACCAGGCAGCGTGCCGGTGTAGCTATCCTCACAACCAACCTTCTTTTTTGAATTTACTTACCGGCGAAGTGAAGTTTAGGTGGGCGTCAGTTGGAGATTGAACTGTGGACCACGTGTGACTTGGTTAACGAGTATGCTACTATTGAACCTATAGGGCACATCACATATATCATCCAGCAGGGACAGTCGAAACTGCCTCGTGGGTGCAAGCTTTCACTTGCTTGTCAGGGAATAATTGCATTTATCAGCTCTAGAATTACTAAAGGTAGTATATGTGATCGTAGGAACGATATCTCTGTGATTTAATGAGGCATTCGTGGTTTTACTTATTTATAAGGTATGTACTTAGACATGCATGGCTTAATCTCGGAGACAAGCATATGACTACTGCCCAGGATCAGGCGGTTTATTCGTACAACGACATACCTATTGATTCGGCAATGATACAGTGGTTTTTAGGAGAAGTGAACACACTCATTCCAGCTTTTTTGAGAAACCAGAACAGTACGCAGTATCATCCTGTTGTACAACTACTCGAGAACCCAGTCCCTCGGTGAATCATTTGTACCATTAGTATATATATTAATGTGTAGCTAAGCATGGTTACTCCAATCAATCAGTCCAATAAGAAGTCGTCTGGCATACAAGACTAGCCAAATGCTTTATTATGGGCGTGCATAGCAACACTATAGTGGCACCAATCCGTATAAACAAACCAGCATTCACCCAATTTAAAAGGAAAATCGCTAACTTTATCAACCAATTTAGCATGTGAATAGATAGACTGAACACATGTCTGCCATGACTATTGAAAACGATCCGCAGTCATAAATTAGCGAGATGTGAGGATAGTGTAACTCACGCCCGTACCTCCTATATAATTTCTATTATAGTTACTATAGGATATATATGGATAGTAAGCAGGACAAGGTTGCGTATTATCACCCACGATGATATTCCTAATTGTGGTGGGCGGGGTTATGCGTCAGACTGTGTGTCGGGAGTACTTTGGACCGAAAAGAAGACTAGGAGATTTGGATGTCGAGGTGGATGATTTTTGTCTAATGTCATACAAACTCGAGAACCAACAAACTGACAGAAGAGACTGGCAGGCAGCGAAGACAGGACTCCAGGTGAACATACAGAAGACGGAGGTGATGAAGATAACCAACGACCAGCGACAGCAACAACAACCAGCACCAATCATCATCAACGGGAGAGATTTGACAGAGGTTACTTCCTTCACTTATCTAGTTAGCATTGTTTCAACCACAGGCGGATGACACGGATGAAGACGTCGAAGCCAATCAGCCAGCCAGAATCGGAAAGGCAAGATACGCCTTCATCAACCTGAAATCAGTTTGGGAATCTTCTGCACTGCACTCCGCCTCAGCATAAAAAACAAGATTTGGATTTTCAACACAAATGTCAAGTCAGTCAGTTTTTCTATACGGGTCAGAAAATTGGCCAGAGTGTTACGAAAAGGATTTCCAACAGGCTACTACAGACCTTTATCAACAGCTGCCCACTTCGCTGGCTCCATACTGAAGACCAAATGGCCAGCTGGCCGGTCAGAAAGAATTAGCAACAAGAAACTCTGGCTGACAACAAACCAACAGGCGAGAGCCGATTGCTCAGCACATATGTAGGAAATAATGGAGATGGATCGAGCATACACTGAGGAGGCCGTCGAATGACATAGCATACAATGCAGGTCATCGTTCGAGGGGAATCCAAACGGGAAGCGACGAGAGGGTCGTCAGTGCGAGGGTGGCACGGAGGAGGTCGTGCGGAGAGGAGATGAGTGATTATGGTCAATCTTGGACCCAGTTGAAGAGGATGGCAGAAAGTAGAACAATGTGGAGATGTGTAGGATGGCAGCAAGTAGAAAAATATGGAGATGTGTTGTTGAAGCCCTATGTTCCACTAGGAACCCAATGGAATAATATTAATAATAATAAGCAAGACACGCCTAAGTGTTTCCCACCTTAAACCTATACTAGTTTACCATTGGTCGACGAGGAAGGCGATAGATGACACATGTTGTAGCCATCTCATTCGATTGACTTGTCCTCGTTACTTAATAACTCTACGTCTAACGTCAATATTGCTTGCCGTATCATACCATATGACACGGGAGATAGAATGCAATCATCTATGTCCAAAGAAAGAAAACTAACGTC